CGGAAAGATGGCCACGCCCATGAAGCCTTCGTTACCGAGGCTCCCGGCAGTTGCAGGATGGCAAATGCCTCTCTTCCATGCAACGATATTTGGAAAGCTTTCCGGACAGAAGCCGCACAGGCTAACGATGCCGAGTTTTTAAAAGCTTTTCCAATTTACCTAGAAGAAGGTCGTGCCCCCGAGTGGCGTCCGGTGTCTTATACCATGTTAAAGGACATCAAAAAAGCGATTGTAGAGTACGGTTTAGGCTCACCCTATACTGTTGGACTTTTTGAATCGTTTTTTCTCGCCTGCCGTTTAATACCTTATGATATCAAAGCGGTAATTAATGGACTGTTATCGACTGTGCAGGCATCCGTTTTTGAAGCGGAATGGAAACGTCTTATAGTTAAATATGTCAATGAAAAGATGGAGAGGCGTGGTATTCCTGTAAAGAATGCTATTGATATGCTGTATGGAGAAGGCAACTATGCCAGCCGACAAGACCAGGCTCTTGTGGATTTAAAATACCTAGATATTACAAAAGATCTGGCAATGGAAGCCTTTAAAAAGGTTGCTGATGCATATGTCCAAACACCCTCCTTCACCCTAATTCATCAAGGCTCAACAGAACCTTTTGTGGACTTTATAACCCGGCTAAGGGAAGCTATAGCACGGCAAGTCCAGCAAAAGGAAAGCCAAGACATTTTGTTTAATAAACTTGTGATTGAAAAGGCTAATGAAGATTGCCAACAAGCCTTAAAAATGCTAAAAGATCCCACACTCCTGGAGATGATAGAAGCTTGTAAGAATGTGGGGTCTAATTCTCATAAAGCAAGACTAATAGCTGAAGCTTTAGCTAGACCACAAACCTGTTTTCACTGTAGTGAGACAAGACATATTAAAAAGAACTGCCCACAATTAACTACAAAGACTGAGCTTCCAAAGACGCCGTGCAAACGATGTGGGAAAGGCAGACACTGGACTAAAGATTGCCGCTCTCTTACTAACATCTATGGAGAACTGCTGCCTCCTAAAAAGTCACCAGACTTGAGAAGAAAAGTGACTTTTAATTCAATGCCAGATCTTAAACAGTGCACCTGTGAGCTGTCAAGAAACAAGGCAGCACCCCCTCAACCGCGTTCCATCCTGCGTAGCCCATCCCTTCAGCAAGTGCCAGCAAACCACAACAATCCCTACAGTTCCCTTATCACGAGATCCCAATCCTAAATTCTCCCTTCTAACATGTTCTGCTTACTTTCCAGGATCTCGTAGTCCACAGAAGACCACTATCACTAAGCTTTTAGACACCATGGAGCAGTGGCATCTCGGGCTGGAAACAATTTTAGGGGGGGGAGTCACTCAGCAAATGCAGCTGTCCACTTGTTTTGAAATTTTGCTTTCTCTGTTTGTTTTGTTACTAACTATTTCTTGTGTCACAGCATGCTGCAAGAAGGACTATCACAACAGGCATCTTTCAAACTAATAAGAAAGGGTGAGATGTGGAGAAGCAAGATTCAGGATGGGAACAGTTCCAGGCATGGAGAAAAGCATACAGCAATTGGCAGGACTTTCATATGGACTTTCACTGTATTCATGCTACACAGTGCACAACTGCACATGCCCAGGCTTCCTCCTCCCCCTTTTGCCTGTGCCCTGTTCTGATTTGCTCCCCCATTGGTCTGTCTGATAGCCCTCTTGATGTTCTGCCCCCTGCCCCTGGTGGGACATCAAGAGGGCACACGCCTGAATAAACAAGTCTGCTTGCACCCTTCCTCGTGTCCTGTCCCCTCTTCCCTTCGGACCGCGACAAATTTCCCCTAGCATGGGTCAAGCTCTCCAACTGTGATCCCACTATGATCCCAGTACTCCCCAGCATGGTCCCAGTTGCTCCCAGTTTCTCCCAGTGTGATCCCAGTTGCTCTAAGTTGTCTCTAGGATTGACCCAGTCTCTCCCTTTAAGATCCCAGTCTGATCCCAGTATGAGCCCAGCAGGGGCCCAGCTGCTCCCAGGATGACCCCAGTTGCCCCCAGCGTGATTCCAGTTGCTCCCATTCACCCTTCCTATGGTTCCACTCACTCCCAGCCACTCCCAGTATATCCCAGTTGCCCCCAACATGCTCCCAGTTGCTCCCAGTATGATCCCAGTTGCCCCAGTTCTGGTCCCGCTGGCTCCAGTCCAGGTCTCGGTGTATCCCGGTGTCCCCCCTGTCCCCCCACCCCGCTCTCACCCCCTTTTCTCTCCCCACAGAGCTCCTGAGCCGCCGGCGGCCGCAGCCCCTCCCCGTGGCCTCGGGCCCAGCCGGGACCCCCCAGTCCAGCCCCGCCCGCACTTTGGGGGGGTCGTGTGTCCCCCCCGGCCCTGCTTTTGTTCACACCCCAGCCGACTGCTCCCAGTGTTCCCAGTAAAGCTTCCCAGTTCTCTGCAGTCCCTGTTTTTGGGGGGGCAGTGAGGGGGTTCTGAAAATCCCAGGAATGGGGGGGTTTGGGTACTTCCAGACCCACAAAATCCTTTGAACAGGGCTTTTGGGGACATTCAGACCCCAGAAATCTTGGAAACATGGGGGCTCTCCTAGATCCCAGAAGTTACAGGAACATCGTGGTTGGGGCACTCCCTGACCCCAAAATATTGGAAAAGAGGGGCTTGGACACTCCTAGACTATAAAACTCATAGGAATAAGGGGTTGGGGCACTCCCAGACCCTAAAAATCCCCGAGAAAGTTTGCTTGGGCACATCCAGAGCCCAAAATATTGGAAAAGAGGGGACTGGGCACTCCCAAACCTTAAAAATTCCAGGAAGAGTGGGATTTGGAAAGCGTCACACCCCCAGAATCCCAGGAACTGGAGGTTATTGGCCACTCAGGGCCACCCAGAACCTCATTCCCACGTATCCAGGTCAACCCAAACGCCAAACCCAGGAATCCAAGAACTCCCAAAACCCACCCCGGACCCCCCAAGTCCCGGGCAGGGTCAGCAGCAGCAGCCAATGGGAGCGAGCGGTGCTGGAGCGTCATCAGCTGCCGGGCAGACCCGTCCGGAACGGAGCCCTCCCTGAGCTCAGCCAATCAGAGACCGCCCTCTGGTGATTTTGGGGGCCCGTGGGAGCTGCGGGAGCCCTGGGTGGGCGTTTTTAGGTTGCTGAGCTTTGGGAGCCCTGGCTGGGCACTTTTGGTGGGCCCTGAGCTCCCCCCTCCCCCGCAGAACACGGACCCCCGCGAACCCCCCAGCCCCGGGGCTGCCGCGGGGGCCCCCAACGGCCCTCAGCCAATCCCAAAGCGCCCACGCCGCCCGCGCCCAATCCCAGCGCGCCGCGCTGATGACTCATCAGTCGCCGGGAAGACGCCTCGAAAAAAGGGCCCCAACTGCGCCCTCAGCCAAGCCCAGCGCGCCCCAAACCCCCCAAAACGGCGCCGCCCGGCTGGTTTGGGGCTGTCAGCAGCTGTCCGGCGCTGGGCATGGAGCGTGTGCGGGGAGCTGGGGCCGTGCTGGCGGTGCTGGTGGTGCTGGGAGCCCCCCCGGCTGCGGGCAAGGAGCTGTCGGGTGAGCGGGGGGGGGCGGGCAGGGGGGTCGGGTGTGAAAGGGGGGAAAGAGGGGAGAAAAGAGGGTGTGGGAGCCCCAGAAGTGAGTGCGAGGGGGGTTGGAAGGCCCGGAGTGAGTGGGAGGGGGGTGGGAGCCCCAAAGTGAGTGCGGGGGAGTCTCGGGGGTGGGGGGAAAGGAGTGGGAGAGGGAGGCAAGGGGGTGTGGGAGAGCAGGCAGAGGGGTGCCCTGGGGGTCCCTGAGTGTCCCTTGAGCCCCGGAGCGGTTCCTTGGGGCTCTGGGGGGGGGTCGGATCTGCAGTGGGGGGGTCCCCAACTGCCCTGTCCATCCTCGGGGGGCTGATGGGGGGGTTCCCCCCCAGCCAAGAGCCGGTGCTGGGGCGTCTGTGGGGAGGAGAGGGGTGGGAAAGGGGGGTCCGGGGTGGCCCCCTGAGCTCCCAGCCTGCTGTGGGGGGATGGGGAGGGGGAGGGGCAGCCCTGCCCAGTGTCCTGCACACACAGGGGTGTTTCAGGAGATGGCAAAGACAGAGTGTCACTTCATCAATGGTACCGAGCGGGTGAAGCTCATGGTGAGGGTCATCTACAACCGGGAGCAGTACATGCACTTTGACAGCGATGTGGGGGTCTTTGTGGGGGACACCCCGTATGGGGAGATCCAGGCCAGGTACTGGAACAGTCTCCAAGAATTTCTGCAGTACGTACGGGCTCACATTGACATCTTCTGCCGGCACAACTACGAGGGTGTCACCCCGTTCATTGTAAACCGCAGAGGTGAGCGTGGGGCAGAGCGGGTCCCCTCGGACCCTACCTCGGAAAGACCCTGGAGCCCCTCAAACCCTCCCTGGCAATCACTCCAGACCCCTCAGCCCTCCCTGTGTTCGTCCCGTGCCCTTTTGCCCCCTCCAAGTTCTTCCCAGTCCATCCCAGTCTCTCCCAATCCTTCCAATGCCCCTTTGTCTCTCCCAGTCCATTTCAGTTTTTCTGAGTCCATCCCAGTCCACCCCAGTCTCTCCCAGTGCCCCACCGCGTCCCCACGCGTTGATGCCATCGATCTCCCGCTTGTCAGCCAATCCCAGCGCGTGTCTCTGATGACGCTCCAGTTGCCAGGCAGACCCAAAGCAAAGAGTTCCCTCACCACGACTCAGCCTCCCAGTCCTGATCGCTTCCTTCCCAGTCCACACCAGTCATTCCCAGTCCATTCCCAGTCATTTCCAGTCCCTCTCACTCCATTCTCAGACTCTCTCACTCCATTCCCAGACCCTCTCAGTCCATTCCCAGTCGTTCTCACTTCACTCCCACATCTCCCAATTCTCTCCCCAGTGCCCCCCCAGCCCACCCCTTCTCCCTCACTCTGTTCCCAGTCCCTCCCACTGCCATCCCAGTCCCTCCCAGTGCAATCTCAATCTTTACCAATGTCCTACAAGCCCTCTGCCCTTCCTCCCAGTGCCCCCCAGCTCAGCCCAGTGTCTCCCCTGTCCCTCCCAGTGCCCCCCAGCGTGTCCATCTCGCTGGTGCCGTCGAGCTCCCAGCCCGGCCCCGGCCGCCTGCTCTGCTCCGGGATGGATTTCTACCCTGCGCCGGTGCAGGTGAGGTGGTTCCAGGATGGGCAGGAGCTGCCGGAGCACGTGGTGGCCACCGACGTGGTCCCCAACGGGGACTGGAGCTACCAGGTGCTGGTGCTGCTGGAAATCCCCCCCCGGCGCGGGGTCACCTACAGCTGCCAGGTGGAGCACGTCAGCCTGGAGCACCCCCTCAGCCGGCACTGGGGTACGGCCCGGCCCCCCCAGCACCGGGGGGGCAACTGGGGGCGACTGGGAGGGAGTTTGGTGGGTGCTGGGGGTGATGGGAGGGGGGTGGGAGGGTCCTAAAGGGGCTGGGAGGGGCTGGGTGGGATCCCTGGCGGGGCTGGGAAGGGACTGGCAGGAGGTTTGAGGGACCCCCGGGTGGGCTGGGGGAGAGCGGGCCGGGCTCTGTGGGGTGCCGGGGGGTGCGTGGGAGGAGGTTTTGGGGGTGCTGACCCCCCCGGCTCCCCCCAGAGATGCCACCGGACACCGTCCGCAGCAAGATCCTGGTGGGGGTCGGGGGCTTCGTCTTGGGCTTGGTCTTCCTGGCGCTGGGGCTCGGCTTCTACCTGAGGGAGAAGGTAAAGGGAGGTCCCCAAAGGGGGGGCGTGTCCCCCCCCTTGCTCTCCCACAGCCTCTGGGCCCCCCCGTGCCCCCCCACCCCGCTCTCACCCCCTTTTCTCTCCCCACAGAGCTCCTGAGCCACCGGCGGCCGCAGCCCCTCCCTGTGGCCTCAGGACCACCCTGGATAACTGAAACCCTGCGCTGATTTTGGGGGGTTGCATGTCCCCCCCTGCCCTGCATTTCTTCCCACACTAACCAGCTGTTCCCAGTGTTCCCAGTAAAGCTTCTCAGTGCTCTGCAGTCCTGGGTGTTGGGGAGAAGTGGGGGGACTCTGAAAATCCTGGGAACAGGGGGTTTTGGGTACTCTCAGACATCAAATTCCTGGGAAAAGTGGGGTTGGGACAAATGTCAGGCCCCCAGAACAAACAAACAGGGGTGTTGGGGCACTCCCAGATCCCGAAATATTAGAAAAGAGGGGCTTGGACACTCCCAGACTCCAGAAATCCTGGGAAAAGGGGCGGGTTGGGCACTGCCCGACCCAAACAGTCTTGGAGAAAGTTGGTTTTGGCACATGCAGAGGCCCAAAATCCTTGCACAGAGGGGTTTGGGAACATCCAGATCCCAAAATATTGTAAAAGAGGGGTTAGGACACTCCCAGACTCTAAAACTCTTGGGAATAGGGGTGTTTGGGCACTCCCAGACCCCAGAATTGTGGAAATGGGGGGGATGAGAACACTGAGACCACAGAAATCTTGGGAACACGTGGGTATGGGTTCTCCTAGACCCTAAAAGTCAAAGAAACCAGGTGGATAGGGCAGTCCCAGACCCCAAAATACTGAAATAGAGGAGTTAGGACACTCCCAGATCCTAAAACTCCTATGAACATGGGAGGTTTAGGCAATCCCAGACCCACAAAATCCTGAAGAAAGGTGGTTTGGACACACCCGGACTCCAAAAACCCTGGGAACAGGGGGGTTTGGACAGTGTCAACCTACCAATAACCCAGGTTCAGGGGGGGTTGGGCTGTCCCAGAACCACCAAATCCTGGAAAAGAGGGTGTTATTTACTCCTAGGCCCCTAAATTTGTGTGAACGAGGGAGTTGGGCACTCCCAGTTCCTCAAATCTTATAGAAGAGCGGTTTGGGCACCATCAGCATCTAAAAACACGGGAACAGGGGAGCTGGGGACATTCAGACTCAAAAAGCTTTGGAACATGGGAGTACGGGCTCTTCTATACCGTAAATATCCGAGGCACAGGGGGGTTGGATCAACCCCAGACCCCAAAATATCGGAAAAGAGGGGCTTGGACACGCCCCCAACGGCCCTCAGCCAATCCCGAAGCGCCCACGACGCCCGCGCCCAATCCCAGCGCGCCGCGCTGATGACTCATCAGTCGCCGGGAGGAACAGGCTCCAACACGGCCCCAAACCGCCGCCGGCCTTTGCCCTCAGCCAATCCGAGCGCGCCCAAAAAGCCCCAAAACGGCGCCGCCCGGCTGGTTTTGGGCTGTCAGCAGCTGTCCGGCGCTGGGCATGGAACGTGTGCGGGGAGCTGGGGCCGTGCTGGCGGTGCTGGTGGTGCTGGGAGCCCCCCCGGCTGCGGGCGAGGAGCTGTCGGGTGAGCGGGGGGGGCGAGAAGAGGGGTCGGGTGTGAAAGGGGGGGAAAGAGGGGAGAAAAGAGGGGGTGGGAGCCCCAAAAAAGTGAGTGGGAGTGGGGTGGGAGCCCCAAAGTGAGGGCAGGGATGTCTCGGGTGTGAAAGGAAAGGGGTGGGAGAGGGGGGCAAGGGGGTGTGGGAGAGCAGGCAGAGGGGTGCCCTGGGGGTCCCTGGGTGTCCCTTGAGCCCTGGAGCAGTTCCCTGGGGCTCTGGGGGGGTGGGATCGGCACTGGGGGTGTCCCCAACTTCCCTGTCCATCCCCGGGGGGCTGATGGGGGGGTTCCCCCCCAGCCAAGAGCCGGTGCTGGGGCGTCCGTGGGGCAGAGGGGGGTGGGAAAGGGGGGTCCGGGGTGGCCCCCTGAGCTGCCAGCCTGCTGTGGGGGGCTGGGGGATGATGAGGGGGACGGGGCACCCCCTGACCCGTGTCCTGTACACACAGGGGTGTTCCAGGAGTTCAGAAGGGAGGAGTGTTACTTCATCAACGGCACCGAGCAGGTGAGGTTCGTGGAGAGGTACATCTACAACCGGGAGCAGTACCTGCACTTCGACAGTAATGTGGGGGTGTTTGTGGGGGACACCCCGGATGGGGAGATCAGTGCCAGGTACTGGAACAGCCAACAGGAAACCCTAGAGTACAAACGGTCTGCGGTGGACAGGTTCTGCCGGCACAACTACGAGGTGTCCACCCCGTTCCTGGTGAACCGCAGAGGTGAGCTTGGGGCAGAGCGGGTCCCCTCGGGCCCTGCCCCGGGAATGACCCTGGAGCCCCTCAAACCCTCCCTGGCAATCACCCCAGACCCCTCAGCCCTCCCTGTGCCCATCCCCTTGCCTTTGTCCCCTCCCAGTCCATCCCAGTCCATCCCAGTCTCTCCCAGTGCCCCCCCCCGTCTCCACCCCGCTGGGGTCACCGAGCTCACGCCCCTCAGCCAATCCCAGCGCGTCTCTCTGATGACGCTCCAGTTGCCAGGCAGACCCAAAACAAAGACTTCCCTCCCCACCACTCAGCCTCCCAGGCCCGAGCACTTCCTTCCCAGTCCACCCCAGTCACTCCCAGTCCACCCCAGTCACTCCCAGTCCACCCCAGTCACTCCCAGTCCCTCTCACTCCACTCCCAGTCCACACCAGTCACACCCAGACCCTCTCACTCCACTCCCAGACCCTCCCAGTCCATTCCCAGTCCCTCCCACTTCACTCCCACATCTCCCGACTCTCTCCCCAGTGCCCCCCCAGCCCAGACCCTTCTCCCCCACTCGATTCCCAGTCCCTCCCACTGCCATCCCAGTCCCTCCCACTGCCATCCCAGTCCCTCCCAACACCCTCCAAGCCCTCTCCCCTCCCTCCCAGTGCCCCCCAGCTCAGCCCAGTGTCTCCCCTGTCCCTCCCAGTGCCCCCCAGCGTGTCCATCTCGCTGGTGCCGTCGAGCTCCCAGCCCGGCCCCGGCCGCCTGCTCTGCTCCGTGATGGATTTCTACCCTGCGCCGGTGCAGGTGAGGTGGTTCCAGGATGGGCAGGAGCTGCCGGAGCACGTGGTGGCCACCGACGTGGTCCCCAACGGGGACTGGAGCTGCCAGGTGCTGGTGCTGCTGGAAATCCCCCCCCGGCGCGGGGTCACCTACAGCTGCCAGGTGGAGCACGTCAGCCTGGAGCACCCCCTCAGCCGGCACTGGGGTACGGCCCGGCCCCCCCAGCACCGGGGGCACACTGGCAGGGGGGCCGGGGGAGAAAGGGGGCAACTGGGGGCAACTGGGAGGGAGTTTGGTGGGTGCTGGGGGTGACGGGAGGGGGGTGGGAGGGTCCGAAAGGGTCTGGGAGGGGCTTGGTGGGATCGCAGAGGGGCTGGGAAGGGACTGGCAGGAGGTTTGAGGGACCCCCGGGTGGGCTGGGGGAGAGCGGGCCGGGCTCTGTGGGGTGCCGGGGGGTGCGTGGGAGGAGGTTTTGGGGGTGCTGACCCCCCCGGCTCCTCCCAGAGATGCCACCGGACACCGGCCACAGCAAGATCCTGGTGGGGGTCGGGGGCTTCGTCTTGGGCTTGGGCTTCCTGGCGCTGGGGCTCGGCTTCTACCTGCGGGAGAAGGTAAAGGAGGGTCCCCAAAGGGGGGGCGTGTCCCCCCCCTTGCTCTCCCACAGCCTCTGGGCCTCCCCTGCCCCCCCAGCCCCTTTGCTCTCACCCCCTTTTCTCTCCCCACAGAGCTCCTGAGCCGCCGGCGGCCGCAGCCCCTCCCTGTGGCCTCAGGCCCAGCCGGGACCCCCCAAACCCTGCGCTGATTTTGGGGGGGTCGCCTGTCCCCCCCTTCCCTGCATTTCTTCCCACACTAACCAGCTGTTCCCAGTGTTCCCAGTAAAGCTTCTCAGTGCTCTGCAGTCCTGGGTGTTGGGGAGAAGTGGGGGTTTCCAAAATCCTGGGAATGGGGGGGTTTGGGCACTGCCAGTCCAACAAAATCTTGGGAAAAGGTGCTTTGGGCACTCCCAGACCCAAAACATCCCAGGATCAGGTCGGTTGGGGCACTCCCAGACCCCAAAGTATTGGAAATTAGGGCCTTGGACACTCTTGGACTCCAGAAATCCAGGGGAAAGGGGGGTTTGCACAAATGTCATCCTCTCAAAACCCCATGAATGGGGGGGTTTGGGCTTTCCCAGCTCCAAAAAATCCTGGAAAAGAGAGGTTTAGGTACTTCCATACCCTGGAAACTGTGAGAACAGGGGGCTTTGGGCACTCCCAGAACTAGAAAATGATGATGAAAGGTGGTTTGGGCACATCCAGAGCCCCAAAATTCTTAGAACACATGGGTTTAGGCAGCTCCCCAAAAACCCAATGGGGTTTGGGCACTCCCAGACTTTCGAATCTTAGAAAAGAGGGGGTTGGGCACCATCAGTATCTAAAAAACACAGGAATGGGGGGATTGGGAACATTCAGAACCAAAAAATCTTGGGAACACGAGGGTATGGGCTCTCCTAGACCCTTAAAATTGCAGAAACTGGGTGGGTTGGGGCACTACCAGGGCCCAAAATATTGGAAAAGACTAGCTTGGACACTCCCATCCTCCTAAAAATCCTGGAAACAGGCGGGTTTGGGCATCCCAGATATTAAAAGTCCTGATAACTGGTGTGTTTGGGCACTCCAGATCCACAAAATCCTGAAGAAAGGTGGTTTGGACACATCCAGACTCTGAAAATCCTGGGAAAAGGGGGCTTTAGGCAATGTCAGCCTCCCAATAAACCAGGAACAGGGGGCTTGGGGATTTCCCAGAACAACAAAATCCTGGAAAAGAGGGCGTTATTTACTCCTACACCTCTAAATTTGAGTGAACGGAGGGGGTTGGGCACTCCCAGTTGCTCAAATCTTCTAAAAGAGCAGTTTGGGCACCATCAGCATCTAAAAAAAACCACAGGAACAGGGGGTTGGGAACATTCAGACCCCAAAAATCTTGGGAACACAGAAGTATGGGCTCTCCTAGACCCTTAAAATCCCAGAAGCTGGGTGGGTTGGATCGACCCCAGACCCCAAAATATCGGAAAAGAGGGGCTTGGACACGCCCCCAACGGCCCTCAGCCAATCCCGAAGCGCTCACGCCGCCTGCGCCCAATCCCAGCGCGCCGCGCTGATGACTCATCAGTCACCGGGAAGAACAGGCTCCAACACGGCCCGA